TTATATCTGACACAGAATTATCAAAAAAGTCTCATCACAAAAATAGGAACACTACGAAAGGTCAAGGCAGTAATTCCCCCACAACACACACCCCACAAATCTATTAGTCCTGTAGAAATGTCTGTCAACGAGATTGACCTGCATGAACCTCAGGTCACAGAAGTGAAAAGAACAACCAGGCACTTGACCAAAGAAGTTTATGGAGAATGTAAAGAGTTTTAAAGATGACAGAAAGAAACAGCTCCATGAAAATCAGGAGAAAGAGCTTAAGAAGGAATGCTTGAGTGTTGCCCAAGAACACACAAACCTAAGACTAACAGATGTGATGAGGACAGTCCAAGACTTGAGAAGGGAATTCAGTCAGAAGATAGATACACTGAGCAAGACTCAGTGAACTGAAGATGGAGTTCAAAAACCTGAAAACTAAACTAGAACTCTCAAAGGAAAGCCTGAGAGTAGAGTGAGAGAGCAGAAGATAGAACAGCAAGACTCAAAGACAATGGAAAGCTATAGACCAAATAAGCAAGGACGATCCAAATTACACACACACACACACACACACACACACACACACACACACACACACACACACAAGGAAACTAACACACAGGAAATGTGGGACACCAAGAAAAGACCCAACTTTTAAATTTTATGAATAGGTGAGGGAGAAGAATCCCAAGTCAGTGACATAGACCAGCTCACCAACAAGATCACAGAAGAAAATTTACCCAAACTAAGGAAAGATACACCAGTACAAAAGATACAAGAAGCACAGAGAACACCAAATGGATAGAAACAGAAAAGAAACTCTTTGTGGAATATTATAATTAAAACATTAAGTATACATAGCCAGGTGGTGGTGGTGTTTGCCTTTAATCCCAGCATTCAGGAGGCAGAGACAGGAGGATATCTGTGAGTTTGAGGCAAGCCTGGTCTACAAAGTGAGTTGCAGGACCTTCAGAGCTGTTACATAGAGAAACCTTGTCTTGAAAAACAAAACAAACAAACAAACAAAAAACGTTAAATATACCAGCAAAAAAGAAAAAGAAAAAGAAAAAAAGAGAGAAGATATTAAAAGTATCAGGAGAATAAACAAGTCACATATAAAGGACAACCCATCAGAGAAACAGCTGATTTCTCAATGGAAACTCTGAATGCCAGAGAGCCTGGAGCAATGCATCCCAAGTCCTCAAAAAACTACAACATCCAATCTAGTCTAATATACTGAGCAAAACTATCTGCCATAGTTGAGTAGGAAAAAATTTTCCATGGTATAAACAGCCTAAAAAATTACATCCAACAAACAAAACCTAAATTAAAAAAGGAGACAATATTTCAGGCCAAAGAGAGGGATTGGCACAGCTTAGAGAATGCAGAAATTGAAGGTATAATTACCAAATACAAAGTACCACTGAGAACACCAGCACCACCAGAAATCAACACCACAATGACTGCAGTCAACACTTTAATAATAACTTCAGGTATTGATGCCCTAATTCTCCAATCAAATTTTGTAGGCTGGCTGAATGAATCAAAAAAATAAAATCCTGCAGATCATGCAGGGCAGTGGTGGAGTACGCCTTTAATACTCAGGAGTCAGAGGCAGACAGATCTCTGTGAGTTTTGAGGCCAGCCTGGTCTACAGAGCTAGTTCTCAAAAAACAAAGTAATAATAATAATAATAATAATAATAATAATAATAATAATTAATAATAATAATTCATCTACTGTTGTCTATCAGTAACACATCTTAGCTTTAAATATAGGCACCTATATTGAGTAAAAGGATGGACAATAGTACTCCATTAAATGAAAGCTCATAAGGCCTCAACCCTACACAATCCCTACAGAAAACTAAGGGATGCTGATAATGAGAGAAAGAGTCTTCCCCAGGGAAGAGCACACCAATTGGTTTTCTAATACCAACTAACATCTGAGTCAACATCTGTGGCTCCTGTTCAACCAAGGGCCATGTAGATTCCCAGGGTCTGGGCTGCCACCTGGGGCTACGCTGGTGTCTGAGGACTGAGCTCTCACCAGGAACATGCAGTCTGGGTGGCCTGTGCTGCCACCTAGGGCCATGGTGACATCCAGACCCAGGTTGCTGCTGAGAACCATGTCTGGGTCCATGGTCCTACTGCAGCCAGGATCTGTGTTGAAGTCTGTGGCCCATATTGTTACTGAGGGCCATGTGGAGGCCCAAAGTCAGGTCAGCTACCTGAGTCCATGTCAGTGGCCAAGGGACATGCTTCAGCCAGGGCCAAGCAGATTAGAGTGGCCTGCACTGCCACTTGAGGCAATGGTGACATCCAGATCAGGTTGCTGACAGACAAGGATCATGTCTGGGTCCATCGTCCCACCAGAGGTGGGGTCTGTGTTGCTACCAAAGGTTACAGGAAAACCTGGGATCCAGGCCACAACCTGTGGCCTTGTTGGTATCTGGGAGCCATGCCACCACCACAGCCATCCTGATCTGAGTGGTCTGTGTTTCCATCCAGAGCCAGGATGTGGTCCACTACCAAGCCACTGCCGAGGACCATGTCTGTGGCCCAGGTTGCCTCATGGAGCCATAGGAACCACGAATGATGGAATCAGAGGACCATGCTGATGAGCCAGCCCTTCCCTTCTCTGGCCCTGGGATAGCTGGAACTGTGCCTCACTGGATGCTGCAGCAAGAGAACTGACCTTAACCATCATGGGACAGCTGGCCTCCCAAACTCTGGAGAGATGGCCCCATGCCTCACCCAAGACAGAGGAGATCTGACCCTGATGGCATGGGCACAGGGGAGATGGCTCTGCTCCTCACCTGAGGGGGTCGGCCACAGTGCCCTGGACTGACCATCTGAACCACCACCCAGGCTTACCTAGGGCTGGCCCACCCTGACATCTACCCCCATCTAGGACCTGCTGGATCTTGTAAAGGGACTGGTCCTGGGGAACAATAACCTCAGGATCTCCATGACTCACGGTGGCTGCAGGATATCCAAGAGAACTTTTAGGTGAGGATCCAGTGAGGACGGTGTGC